GCAGGTTCAGATTCTGCAGGCGGACCTAACGCAGGAGTCGGACACGCAGCATATCTTCAACGAGGCGAGCCATTCATTTGGACCCGTGCAAGTTATTGTCGTAAATCATGGGTACTGGCCCCCGGAGGACGTCCCGGTTGCGCGCATGACGCTCGCCCAATGGAATGCGACGGTCTCCACGGATCTTACGTCGAGCTTCCTCGTTATCCGGGGCTATCTTAATGGCCTCGAACGTGCGAGCGTCGCTGCGAAGGACAAGGCGGCGATCGTGATGATAGGTAGCACCGCTGGAAAGTACGGCGAGGCTGGCCATGCCGACTACGCGGCGTGTAAGAGCGGTAAGGGATCTTCGCCTGCATAGTATAACGTGGAAGTATCTTACATAATCTGTCTCCTCTGTACAGCGATGATGTATGGTTTGACCATGTTCATGAAGAACGAGATCGTGAAGATCGCTCCCAGAGGACGGGTGAACTGCGTCGCGCCTGGCTGGGTTCGCACGCCGATGGTAACGTCCGCGCTAGAGAATCCCTCAGTGATTTATCAGGCACTCGCCACGTACGTTTTCTCCAGCTGCACTGTGTACACTCCGCAAAGTAACGTGTCAATTCCAGAACCCCTCTAAGAAAGGTCGCCGAACCGCAAGATATCGCGTCCCAGGTGGTCCTGCTCTCGTCAGCTTCAGCGTCTGGCCATGTCACCGGCCAGGTTGTCATGGTAGAAGGGGGTATGGAAGGTCGACTATTGAATCGGCCTGAAGATGTACTTGCCTAGACTTACAATGGAAGAGAAGGAACATGCATCCTCTTGGTCATGCCGCGCCGTATCGTGCGATGCGCTACCTCGGGAAACCGGCACTACTTCATTGCCTTGGACCATGAATCAGTTCAGTAGAGCGAGCATCTGCTCTTCCACGCTTTGCTTGTGTGCACGCTGTTTGTGGGGGAATGTACGCCCGTCTTTAAGTGGGGGGTCTCCGGAAGTCGGGGCTGCTGCTTGCCAGCAAGGTTGATCCGCTGTCCGCTCGGTGCGGGGCAGATTTGAAATGCTAGCCGGTTAGAATACTTCTGAAGGGAGATGGCGCGCGGGTTTGACTTTATAGCTACAGAAAACCCAGAAATCAGGCAGTCGTGACATGCGAGAAGTACTGCTCATGCGTACTACGAAGAGTTCATCTGTTTGCGGCTACGTACGGCGAATGTAACCACAACATTACCATCGTACCGGATATCATTCGAGAAAGTAACTCTGAGGCATTGCGTGGGGGATGTGAAAGTTGTCGGTTCGCCGCGGGCGCATTCCAAAAGCGGATCAATTCCCAGTATGAAATCCGTCGGCCCAGTGCACTGGCGGCGCGCGCCAAACCAGGACATCTCAGACTTGGTCGTCAACCGTTATACACAGCTCGTCCGACCACAACATGGTACGCATCCCGTGTCCCTCTGTTATGCATCCTCTCTAACAGATGCCAGAGTGACAACGCAGGCTAGTCTTTTTTCTCTGTTCGCACCAGACGACGCGGGGGGCTGAACGCGAAGTACAGAGTACAAGGAGGCCTTCGCGCTCTTCGACAAGCGAGGCACAGGCGCAGTCCCGCGCGAAGTCCTCGGTGACCTCCTGCGTGCCCTTGGCCAGAACCCAACACAGGCTGAGGTCGCGGAGATCGTCGCATCGGCACCCAAGGACGGTGAGTGCTTCTGCTCCTGCCGCTACGGCGACGCGCGGACGGCGGGCTGAACGGGGCTTGACATACGCTGGCGATGTGCCCCCCGATGGACGATCACAGTCGACTACAAGACGTTCTTGACGATTCTGAACCGGCCAGACGGCTTCAAGCCTGCGGGAACGCCAGGTGCGCTGCCTGATCCGTTGTTCATCTGCTAATTACTGAGGTGTGTCGTGCAGAGGAGTTCATTCGCGGATTCCAAGTATTTGATAAGGAAGGCAACGGGTTCATTGGTGCAGGCGAGCTGCGCTACGTGCTTACGCAGCTGGGAGAGAAGATGTCAGACGAGGAGGTTGACGAGCTACTGAAGGGTGTGCAGATAGGCCCGTGCGTACTTTATTCTTTTCTAACTTGATCTACTCATTGATTGCGACGCAGTGACGGCAACGTGAACTATGAGTCTTTCGTGCGCACGATTTTAAGTCAATAGATTCGGATGTATCTTACTCTGGTGCGATGTGTTTGCTCTCGCATGCCGCCTGCTTATTCCCTCACGATTTTATCTTGCATGGATTGCTCCATTCGTCATGTTCTGCTTTAATACCAACACAACGTAATCAAATCCAAAGCATACTTGTGACGGATCGCCCGAGCCCGTTGTTATGGACGAACATGAATCCTAGGCCTGTGACCAGGTGAACTCGGTAGGGTAGGGACGCACATCGAGGCGGTCGGTGCATTCGAATGGTGTGCTGGTATCGAGTGTATACGAGTCAGGCCCTGGTGTGCATATGCAACCTGACAAGTGTGCCAGAGCTTCGTCTGCTGGGCACTCACATTCTGAACGCAAAGGTATTCATACATGCGCCCAAGTGCAACATACATGTATAGATGCGATTGATACATACACCCACAGCTCTTAGCCGCTACTAGGCTTAGGCTCACTGTATGTACTGGCAGGCTCTTATCGGGATACGGCCCACCACCCGGCTTGTAGCGCGGCCGCATGCCCTCTGAAGGCTGTAACTTGGTGAGTACATACAACAATAACCTAGTACATGCAAATATACTCACTTTTATAGCATACCACTACTTGTCTTATTCTTGGCAAGCCCACGATTTGGGCCAGGCTCGGGCTCAGCTCGAGCTCAGGGTTCGGCTTGACATCGCCACAAGCCTACCCACACACCACTAAATGAGACTATCTAATGTAATTCCACTTGACCAACAGTTAAAGGCGACCGCTGAAGACGCATTGCCTCTTCCCCTATAGATCGTCACCACCATGTCTGGTCTGTCAATATTCGCTTCCGCATATCCACCTATCCCGCTCCCGCGACGGTCATTTTTTACGTACTTGCTGGAGCAAGACAACTTCGACGACAATCACCCTTACAGCATCAATGGTCAGACTGGGAAGGTGCTCACGCGTGGACAGCTCAAACAGAAGTCGCTGTATCTCGCCGATGGATTGAGAAACGTGCGCAACGCGGGGCTAAATGCCCTCGAGAAGGGGTCAGTCGCTCAGTCGCTCTGGTAGTCGGCCCGGCGACAGACTTGTGTCCGGTGCTGATGTTTGCCCTCGTACGTGTTTCACATTGCTCTGCAACGCCTCGTGATCTAGAGCGCGAATGTCGCAGGGCGCGACAGGGATCATGTGTATGCTGGCCAATCACATGTACATCGAGCACGAGCTCGTGCACGCGATGAAGGTTACTCGAGCGTCGCGCGTCCTTGCACGTGCCTCGGTCATGCCGCTGGTACTGTGCACGCTGCGGTCTCTCGAGCGTTCACGAGAAGACATCAGGCGGTCAGCCATCATTATCTCCCCGGAGGACGAGATCCCGGCAGGGTACAAGTCCGGAAGCTGGGTCGCGCTCAGCAAGCTCGACTACACACTTGTACCGAGCGTGCCCGAGTGTCTCGACGGTAGCACGTCCGGCGACCCCGTTCATCTACCTCAGCTCAGGTCAGCATCCGCGAGCTTTCCACCGGCTGGCGCCGCTGACAGATATGCGCACTCGGCACGGACTACGAGCCTGAGCAAGGGCATCGAGCGGTACAAGGTCTCGGTCAGCTTTTCGTCTTTCATTTATTTGTTTATTTACCAAAGGGCAATGCTCGGAAGGCCGACGACACTGAGGCGCAGGCGACCCTCATGCTACTGCCCATGCTGCTCGCGTTGACGACTAGCCTGCTTGTGGACAAGTACGACCTGTCGTCGTTGCACGTGACGGCAGTAGGGGCGGGCACCTATGTCGCCCGATATGATCCTGGCTTGTCGCCGTCGATTCGTTAAGAAGGAATGGCAGTCAAGCATAAGGGAAGCCCATGGGATGACGGAATTGTGTCCATTTGCGCCAACTATGCTGTTCCGGGATTTTGAAGCTTGGTCTCTCTAGGTGCCGCGGCGACGTACATGCCGTTGGAGGCTATGGCGCCGCATATGTCCTCTATGGGATGGCAGTTGCCCAACTCGGAGATGTGCGTGGTGGACGACAATGACGAGGATGTGGCCATCGAGACACAGGAGGAACTCTGGTTTAGAAGTCACAGTGATATGAAGTGCGCATTTTTTTTTTTTCGCAAATGTTGGCAAGACTTCCTGACGTTCTGCAGAGGGTATGCGAACAACCCGAAGGCGACAGCGGAAACCATTACGCCCGATGACTGGCTCAAGGTCGGCGACATGGCTGTTCTAGACAAGGATGGGTTTTTGTCAGTTACAGACCGTAAAGAGCTCATCAAATACAAAGGTTTCCAAGGTATGCGTCTTGTAGCTACAGCGAACCTTCTCGCTCACTTTGTGTCCCTCAGCCACTCCTGCAGAGCTGAAAGATATCATCAGCTCGCACCGGGGTGCGGGGGACTGTGCCGTGATCGGAGTGTATGAGAAGAATTAGGCCACGGAATTGCCCAAGTACTGCCTCTATAAACTACTTTGAGTGCGTACTAGTTGCGGGACCGGACTCCACCTTCGCGAGACTAATGTCATCTGATAGGATACTAGGCATCGTGCCGATAGCCGAGATACCGAAGACTCCGTCTGGGAAGATTTTGGAGAGAAAGCTGTGGGAGCTGGAAGGCGCACAGAATGGATTCGTACCGAAACTGTACAGTATTGGGTCGTGAGAGTGCAGTTGAGAAACCTGGCAGAATCGTCAAGTCAAGGCTTATGGCGTATTTTTTCCCTTCATGTGTCATGATATATTCATATTGCAGGATAACATGGGTAGGCACAAAGATACCAGAAAGTCACAACAAAAAGCAAGTGAGTCGACACACGGCGACCATACAGCAAGTCCCAATATATTCATTCTACCAAGTATCGAATGTCTCGTTGTATCATCGAGCTTCTCGAGGCACCTTCTTTCGCATTGGTCTCGGCTTCTATCACTCGATCTATCTGCTACTCACTTCCTTCAGACGTTTACGATAGCGCTAGCGAAGATCACTGCGACTCCAAAACGAACTCTGGCCCTTTCCCCGTCGTGTCTCGCACTCCGGGCGCTGCCTCATGATGCTGCTTCCATCGCCCGAGACCATTCGTGCGCGCGCTACCTGCACACTATGCACAGGGAGCAGCCGGCACGATGCTCGAGATACGGAACGTGCGTTTCCTGCTCAATGGACGGACCATGCTCGAGACGCGGCACATGCATCGCTCCCACGTGCGATGGCCCCTTCGTGAACAGGCGCATCAAGGACATCGATATCGTGAATGGGGAGTTGAGGCCCCTTTGCATCGAGGGAGTGTTTTTGTGGGTGGGTCGCATCGCTCGTGCACCAACCTTTGTCTCTCTTTTTGTGCTCATACCAGCACAAAAGGTATTAGGTGCCATCCCAGCGTCCCTCAGTACGCATCCCACCAACTACTGAGCAGACCGGTCGCGAGTCCAAGAAGTTATTTGTGTCGGGCAGTAGACATGCACCGGTGTCCACTTAGAAGCCATATAAAGGAGTCTAGCTAATCACTATTTGTTTAATGTTTGTTTACTGCTTATAAACCTCTAGCTGTGTGTTGACAAAATATTTACTGGCTGGCGCCTTGAGTCTAGTAGCTCTGGAGACTTCAAAGTTAAGGAAAAGAGGGTCCCCCATGCCCCCTCCCCCTCAAAAAAATCCCCTATTTGCAAGCCAGCCAATAGGCGCTACCAGGGCTCGAACCTGGGTTTTGGGAATTGAAAATCAGAATCCCAAGTGATAACCACTACACTATAGCGCCTTGCATATGTCGGCCCCATACAGAATCCCATATGTCTTTGTCCCTCAAGACCCCACTATCCGGCAGATGTTCAAACATGGATTGGAACCGTAGTACTCGTACATGACCGAAGGACCCACGCAGACATGGCCGTCCTGATGGGAGAAAGAGGAGGTCGCTTGTCTCTTCTCGTTATGCTTCACTTCCTCCCCGAAAGCACGACATAATTTTGTCACGCATAGCTGACCATTCTGTACAACTCCGCCATCAGTCGCACCACCGCCGTGGACACGTCTATCATGTATTGTCTATATCAAAAGGCTCATTAAAAGAAGAACCAGCCAAAGCCAAGGGTAAAGCGGCAAAAAAAAGATGTAAAGGAGAGGCAGGGTCGGAGCAGGGCCGCGGAAGGACCATCTATGTATGTCTGTATGCATGTTCATTAAGCCGTGAGGTATTGTGGTGGCGCTACATAATTAATGGGCGATGGAGGAAGGGTGCGCAGGGAACGGAGATCCCAATCTCAAGTTTTGGCTCTCCGGTAATACAGAGAATGCGCTTTGTGTCGGTTTCTGCGGCTTTCGGCAGGGTGCAGTCGGGAAGCACAGCGCAGCCGTGCGCTTACTCGCGAGAGACGTCACTAGCATACAGAGAGTCAGTGGGCTAAGCCAGAGAAGGCAGGAGGACAGACGCACCGTCCGAAGATCTTGACCTTGATCCAGTCGGTCGCGACGAGCGCACGGTTGCGGAGCGAGAAGAGCTTGCTCAGGTAGGCGCTGCGCCAGAAGAGGTACGTCGCCACGCCCGCCGTCGCGAGCTACAGGAGCGGGAAGCGTTAGTCAGTCCCAGGCGTCAAGACCCACCGCGAACAAAAAGAGCCCACGCACGTTTCCACTCGAGAAGAAGGGCAGGTCCGCGATCGCCTTGTCGCTCCCGATGTACGCGAGCGAGCCCTGGTGTGAGTACTTGAACGGCCGGATCTTCTCGACCTTGGCGACCTGTCGCTCGAGGCCCTCGACCTTCGCCTTCCTCTCGGCGCTGTCGTCGGGCACGCGGCGCGCGTCGTCGAGCTCCTCGGCGAGGCGGTCGCGGCGCGCGAGCTGGCGAAAGACGCGCGCGAGGTACGCGCCCTCCTGTGCGGCGACCTGCGCCGTCGGCGCGTAGCTCGTCGCGGTGCAGTCGCCGATCGCGAACACGCCCTGGGCGCCGTTCATCCGGAGCGACTCGTCGACGGAGATCCCGCGCCGGTTCGTCTGCTCCGCGGGCAGCTTCGCCATCAGGTCGCGCGTCACCTGGCGGAGCGTGTTGCCGGCGGCCCAGACGACCATGCCGCACGGCACCTCGGCGACGGTGCGGTCGGGCATCTGGAGGACGACGCTCTTCTCCTTGATCTCCTTGACCATCGTCTTGGTCATGATCTCGATCTTGGCCGCCTTGAAGGTGCTTTCTGTGTAGTCGATCAGCTGCTTGCTGAACATGGGCAGCACGGAGGGCAGTGCCTCGACGAGCGTGATCTTGATGCTGTCTGCAAGCTCGGGGTACCACGAGCGCAGGTCATCTTCGAGGAAGTCATGGAGCTCGCCACTGAGAAGATGTTAGCGCTGGAAGGGAATGTACGGTCACGTGACACACCTCAGCTCGACACCGGTGGGACCGCCACCAACGACAACCTGCAGGAGTATCAGAACAGATTCGTAAAAGAGACGTGATGCGACGCACCATGTGCAGAAGACGATCAACCTCCTCCTTACTCTGGCCAGGGAACGCAGCAGATTCAACGCAGTCGAGGAAACGGCGCTGCATCTGAAGCCGAGATGAGTATGCCAGCAGCTACCATAGTGTAGCAACGCACCTTCTCCGCATCATCGAGCTCTTTCATGAAACATGCGTTTTCTCGTACTCCGGGGATGTTAAATGTCTGAGTCTCGGCGCCGACGGCGTACACAAGGTAGTCGTACTTCATGGTTGTTGATGAGACGAGACCTTGTACCTCAGAGGTGTCTACAGAGACCGTAAATAATCTGCCTGAAGGGCACTTTGGAAGTACTTGCCTGCGAAGGTAACAGTCTGGTTGATGGGGTCGACGTCGGTCGCAGACGCCTCGATGACCGTCACCTGACGCTTCATGTGGCGCGTCACGTAACGCGTAGCTGAGGAAAGGCGGGGGGTGAGCAGAAATAAACAGTACATGTCGAGCGGACATACGCTGGATAATGGAGCGGGGGCTGAGCGTTCCAGTAGCGACACTAGGGAGAAGCGGGGTGAACAGGAAGTAGTTACGCGGGCTGATGACGAACTGGATGTTTGCTCAGTCATCGTGCTCAAAGGGAGAAGCGACTGCGACGTACGACATTGTAGTCCTCTGCTTCAAGCGAGTTGAGCAAGCTGGTCGCGCCCCAGCCGCTTCCGAGAATGACGAGGTTCTTCTTGCTGGGATCGTGAGGCAGCTGGGGGCCGGGCGTGCGGTCCTTGTGCGCGACGTAGTAGAAGAGACCTCCAGAGAGGACGACGGTGAAGAGGGTAACGCGGCCGGTAGCCTGTAGGACGCGCTGCCAGCGGGATTGCTTGGGAGGTATTGGCGCGGCCTTCGCAGCAAGAGGTCAGTCAAAACAGAGAGTCACGGGGAAGACCAGGGATGAGAATCACAAGGGGCTGAGACTGGGCTTCGGTGGATGCCAGACGTCTTGGGATTCTCGCGTGGACGAGCTGGGCAGACGGCCTAGACTGCGCGATTCTTCGGCCGAGCTGAGCGCGAGCTGGGAGCACGCGTGAATATTCCGGTCAGGCTGCGGTAAGCGGTGCACGCACCACGAGCGACCTGCATGGCTTTTGAGATGGTGAATTAGTTCACCGGGGGTGAAGAGGAGTAGAAGTACGCGGGGAGGAAGAGGAGGAGGAGCAGGAGGAGAGTGTCTGGACAGGTCTCGCCAATTTTGCGCGTTGAAGAGGTCGTGCGTCATTCCGACTCCGGTCGCACACGGCGCACCTCTTGCGCCCACCCTTCGTCACGGTGGCGCCCGCTCTCCCTCCGGAACAAACTGGCTTGCAGAAATACCCGCGAATTGGCAGAAAATATCTGCACGTATCGCGTGCATGGATGCGGTGTACGGCGAAAGTACGGTGCATACGCCGGAACCGCTGCCTTTGTGGGCGGCACTGCGGTCGGAAAAGACCGCTTTGCGGTGGAGTCCATCCTAAGCATACGCTCTTTGCAGACGTACGAGCTAACTGTTTGCATGTCGGATGCCCCTGCAGTCCAGGCTGTATAGAGCTTGCAAGATCCAATGTAAATACGACGTCGAGCATGGGGGAGATCTTTCTCTGGTCACACCGTTTTTAGTGCAGGATCGTCGCTATCGCTCCGTAGGTACTATCGCGTAGCGATTTCGCAAAAGTCTCATCAGGGTGGGACTATCACAAGGGTCGCACTCGGGACGCAGGGATACGCACAACGAGCGGAGAAGAAAAGGCGTGAGGAGAGGGGGGATATAGAAGAGAGGGTGTGCTACGTCGTTGACGTCTTTATATTCTGCGTTCGTTGTTACTCACGTCTTCGCCATTGCACAGCTGGCAGTACCAGAATGTACGCCTCTGAAGAATTATTTCTGTGCAATGCGCTTAATTCACCCAGCCGGCCGCTGCTTGTTACCTTTCTTTCCCAAAAGTCACACTTTCTGCGACTCGGAGTATTGTATACTGCATCAGTGTTCCCACACCTTAAGTAGTGCCTCTCATAAGCTGGTTTTCCAGTCGACAGCCATCTTCTTCCCTTCTGAGCTGTCCATTTCTCCGCAATATCCAACCAATGGCACGGCTCTTCGGAGGCACAGCCCCCTCGGCTCTAACGCTCAACATCGCCGTGCCCTGCTATATCGCCGCCACAGCGCCACACGCTGGTCCCCACGCTTTGATTTCCTGACCAGGTCTTTCCTTGAAAACCAGCAGATCTCAACTGATCTTCATCCGCTCCTAGGTTTGTCAGTCTTCTGTTTGCTGCTGCTATGTTCAGCGTAGTATTGGACAGGCACCAGTTCATGCCGCAAAACGTTGTGGACGGCGACTGCGCGTCTTCTCGTGCAGCCGACACTTCACCGGCGCGTCCCTGAGACTCGCGTGTCGGCCATGCACGGTCAGCTCGTCTGCAATGTACCTCCGGTATGCGTTCCTTGCATCTGTGGCAAATGTCCGAAAGACGCACTCGAGTTCAAGGCATCGGGTGGGGAGGCTCGCGGCGCCTCAGCAGCGTCCTCGCACATTTCCCTCGCATTCTAGTGAGCTATTCTGCAACTGGTCTGCTGCAATGACTTGGTCGAATGACCACTGACTACACTGTCCAGCGTACCTTGCGGGATACGGTGCAACCGTGCCGGCTGGTGGCCCTGCTGCAGTGATCACCGGTTGGCAGCCTCACCGCTGAATGCTTCAACTTCCAGCAGGTCCCTTCTTCTGTCTATTCATCAATAACCCCTAGCCTTGTAACTACAGACCAGCTCTTACCCGGAACTCCTCAGGGTATCAGCCATCCCCCGGCGAGCCTCCGAGCGCTCGCTTAGTGCCGTCACTCAGCCTTCCCGAGTGTCGTGCGAGTTAGACGGACGCGGACAGCGTCCGCAAGCGGCGCGGTGGCCGCGAGATACACGGACGCCTTGCGAAGGGTGCGCGTGGATCTGCAGTCTTCTGTACACGCACGCGACGTATTCAAACGGCGGCCGAGGGGTATCCGGACACGGAAAAACCGTGTCAACGAGCAGGGACCCTGCAGGATCGCAAGGTTCGACTCATGGTGGCACGGGCGGAGGGTGCCGCTCGGCGTGGACACGGACGTGCGCCGGCCGTTCTGAGCTGCTTCGCCTACAACGCGGATGCCGCGTGAGCTGACATCTCGATGGGCCCACCTGCACCTGTGCAGACCGCACAACACCGAGGACGACGGTGAGGCAAAGGGTGGAGGCATTCCTGCAGGGTGCCGGCTCACCTACTAAACACAGCACTCCGCAGATGCTGAAATGCTTCCCCCGTAAACTTAACGTCCTGTCTATCTCTCTGAATATGACTAGATAGTCAGTCTTCAAGCTTCAAGCTTCGCACCGTGACACTCGGCAGCAGTCTGATAGCTTCCGGGTGCGCCTTCCCTGCCTCGGGACCGCAGCATCCGCGGCTGGCATCGTGGTTCCACGCGTGTCGTCCGAACGGCCCTTTACGAGAGCATCGCAACGGCCCATGATGTGCGTGAGAGGACGTAATATTACCGAAGTACAGTCACCACAGTCCCGAACACAGTTCACGCTGGTAGACGAAACGAGCCGCGGTGCGATGCCATGAGCTTGCTCACAAATAATCAACATCTGTATTCTAGAGAGCACCGTCTATGTGGGTGCATGTGCGGCAAAGACAAGGAGAGGGATACAGCGATCGACTAGGATAGCATGGCGGACAGGGCGATAACAGGGGCGTGCGCCGTCGAGGCGCGGTGTACACTAAGGGTATGCGGCGCCCGGCAGAGAGGGAACGTGGGGACTCGAGAGGGACAGGGCAAGACGGCCAGGCCTTGCGGCGCGGTCAACGCATGAGGCGCAGATAGTAATAAAGACGAAGAGACCAATGGCGCAGACGAACGAGGAGAGCTGAATGTGAAGATGGAGCAAGCGCGGGAATGAGTCATCTAAGGTGCGGTCGTCGCGGTGTCTCAGAGCGTGTTGTACGTCTGGCCGAGAGGGAGGATGTTGTTCGAGCCGTCGGTGAGGATGTTATCGCCGGCCGTGAAGTAGGCGTAGCCGCTGTTGCTGTCGAGGCCGTCCAAGAAAGGCAGCATCGTGTCGAGGAAGGTGGTCTGGTCCTGTGTCGAGCCCGAGGCCCCGAACTGCGACCGCTGTTAGCACGACGCCATGAGCTGCATACGGGGACATGCACACCTCGGTCATGAACGTGGGCTTGCCGTACTTGGTGCCAATGTCAGTGATGTACTGCTGGAAATACCCGATGTTGGTCGCGCTATCGTAAATATGGAACGCGATGCAGTCGATGGTGCAGCCGTTGCACTCCTGCAGGAACTGGTCGAGCCAGGCCTCGCCCATGGGCGCGCCGCCGTTGGTAATCGCAGGCGAGCAGAGCTTGGCCTTACCCGCGAAGGGCTCCATCCATTGCATCCATGCGGCCGCAGCTGCCTGCGGGCTCAAGTTTGACTGCGAGCCGAGATCGGGCTCGTTGAATCTGCGGGGGTCGGAATCAGACTCGTCCGGGAGTTCACTCTGTTTCAGACCAGATTGGCTGCGGGTTTGATACGCGTTGCTTGGCAGATAAATACCAGGAACAAATCTGGCTGGACGCTCCCCGCAGCCTTCACATCCAGGCACAAGCTGGAAGCAGAAACTCACCCGAGGAGGTGCGTAGAGCCGGAGGCAATAGCAGCGGTGGCGTCGTCCATCCAGGTACTGGTGTGGCCTGAGTCCGCTCCCCAAAGCATGGGTAGGTACTGCTTGCCCGCGGGAACGTTGCCACCAGGAGTGGATCCCCAGTTGTACAACCACGAGATCCTGTGCGAAGTCAACGTCTTCGTCTCGTACGAGAACTGCGAAGGACTCACTTGGAACCGAACTGGTCAGCCGCGCCGATGTTGTTGTACGATACGCCGCGCTTAGTCCCGTTACCAGAGGAAGGTGGAGGCGCGGGAGGCGCGGTGCTGCAGTCCGTCAGCTCATGAGGCCAGGCACGGAGCCAAAGCGCACGTACGTGACGGGCGCAGACGTGCTCGTGGGCGCGAGCGTCGCAGAGGGGCCGCCGCGGCGGTGCATGTTCCTCACGTGGTTGTGGCCCTGAACAGAGCCGACGAGCGCGAGCGCGATGGAGACAAGGGTCGCTGAGAACTTCATATTGTTTGGTTGTAAACTTCTTCTAGGCGGGAGGCGCGGGAACAGCGAGCGTGTGTAACGAGTGCGAAGCTGAAAGAACGAACAGCGCCTTGAAAAGAGTGTGGCCGGGAAAGCGAAGCTGAGCGAG